TTCCAACCAGTCGGGAAAATATTTTCCCACCAAAAAGGCGGGAAAACATTTTCATCAAAAACCCGAAAATTGCACACGTATGGGGAAAATCTGGAAAATATTTTCCATGGATAATTTCGCCTATCAAACAGCAAAAAAAGTGGAAAGTGGAAAATATTTTCCTACTTCCCCGGAAAATGTGGCCTATCAAACACGGCCTAAATTCATTTACTTAATAATTTTACATTAGTGAAATAAATTAATAATATTTTTGTGAAATAAATATTTTGTACTGAGATTAAGTATAACACAAAAATTAGAAGCATTGATTTAGAATCGAAAGAAAATCATAATCTAATCCCTAACAAGATAAGAGAAAGAAAGTTTTTTGACTGCATCTAAAAAATGCTAGTGATCATTAAAGCCATATTTGACTGCAACAAATTTCATGAAAAATGTCACATTCGAGAAAAACGAATTTCACTTGGACCGTTTGATTGCAATATGAAAATGAAAATCGAATTCTAAGGTACAACCATTTTAAGTTGTATTTTCTTTACTTTCATGGAAAACAAATTCCTATGTGTTTGATGGATTTTTATTTTTCAACTAACACTAAATAGAATTTCTTTTCACATTTGCTTATCAAACGAACATTAAATAAAAAAGTGGCAAGAGAGATGCAAGAAATTCGAAAAATGAGAAGAAATGAAAAGTGATAACCTATATAACTTTAAATTCTTTAAATTATTGTTAATTTGCGATGGTCGAAGAGTGCAGACTTTTTTTTTTTATTTTTTAAATTCTTATATAGAGAATATAGGCAAAGTAAAATCCAATATTTTAATTCAATTATCAATAAAAGCAAAATCATGAATTTCATTTTCTTTGTTAACGAATTACAAACTTATTTGGCACGCTTGATGATATGAACACTCAAAAAAAATTAGAAAAACACATAAATAAAAATACTATTTTAACCTTCTATAAACTTCCAAGGACCTAAATCAAATATGGAAAGTGCTACAAGTACATTAGGGGTGTCATAATGATATCCATAATGGACACATGGCTCCCCTAATGTACAAGAAGAATTATCCATGAAATATCATAACTCGACAAACTTCAGGGTACTGTATGACATTATTTAAACTCAAGGGACCATTTTGCAAAATTTACACTTCTGTCGTTCGGGTTTTTAGGGTTTAAGACGCTTCCTTCTTCAGCTCAGTCTCTCACTCGTACTTTTTCCAATTATTTCTTTATTATATAGCCATAATTATCTGAAATTCAGCATGTGGGCGCTGCGTCGAGTCTCCATTTCTACCAAGTAATCCTTTCTTTTATACTCTTGCGCGCACATACACAAAATATATGTATGTATTTGTATATATGCGCAATCGTTGGTGTATAGTTTTTGATTATTTTTTATTTTTTGGCTGCAATTTTTTATTCTATCACGAAGTGGTTTTCCATCTGACTGATCTGCAAATATGTAGTTGGTGTGTATATTAATTATGTTTTAAGTACATGAATGTATATATATACAGTCTGCACTTGTTTGTGTTCCGATTTTCTACTTCAATTCCATAAAGCTCTGAAATTTAGCATGATGGCACTAGTCGAGTTTCCGTTCCTATCAAATGTTTTGTTTTGCCAGCACTCCTGCACATATATATACATAGTATATGTATGTGATAAAATACATGTATTTGTATGTATGTGCAATTGTTTGTTATTTTTTGGGGCTATTCTATGGAGTATGTGTGTACACATTCAGCCATGCTTATGCACATTTGTGTGAAGGTCAAAGTGAATTTCTAGTTTCTGTGGTCGATGGATTTAGATTGGAAAAGAGAGAGAGAGGAAAAAAATGTGAACAAATAAATAAAATAAAATTTTAGGTGTTGCTGAATTTTTATTGTGATGCGACGAATGGTGTGTAAACTTAAGATACTTAGGAATTATTGTCTTCAAATAGTTATTAACATGTTATGCCAATCCATTTCAAGTTTTGCAAAACTATGTGTGGAGAATGTAATAAGATTGTTGATTTAGTTGTCTTGCAGTCAATTAAATCCTGTGAAATTATTATGTGTACACGTTGTTTGCTCCCAGGAATCGAGGATTTGGCATAGGGTCCTCTCGAATTTGCTGTGCTAAAACAGACATAGCAAGATGTTACATGGATAATCACAAGGCTGAATATATTGAACCCCAAGAAATGCCAGCTGATGGATTCCATTCATTTAGAAGATTCTATGACAAATCATCTAATTTTCGGAAGTTATCCATCGAAATTCGTCATTATTCTTCACAGACTGATAAGAATGGAGAGGATGATGAAGACTCGGAGGAAGGTTTCTCTGAACTTGAAGGTNAAGACTTGGAGGAAGGTTTCTCTGAACTTGAAGGTCCAACTGCCTCTGGTGCGATTCTAGAAGATAATGGTGGAGATGAGAATGACGATGAACTAATTTCTGGGCCAGAGCTATCTGAAGAGGAGTCTTCAGATGAAGGCATGCAAGGGACACAAAATGAGTTGGAGGTATTAGATAATGAGACCGTTGTTGCTGAGAAGGTATCTTCAAGACAGATGGGTACTTCAGCATTGACCCGTTCTATCTTAGGTGCTCCAGCTTCTTCTCTTGGCAAGTTTTTGGATAAATGGGTTGCAGAAGGTAATGAAGTTACCCGGTTAGAAGTAGTGTTAGCCATGCTTACTCTGAGGAGAAGGCGATTATACGGCAAGGCCTTGCAGGTGATTTTCTTTAGTCTTGTTACTGCATATCATTTGTTCTGTTCAGTGCATATATGTTGGCTTTCCTGTTTCTTTCTACACTCAACACCATACAGCTAGCAATAATTTTGTTGGACTATCTATAAGCATTTATCAGGACTAGAAAGGTTGCCTTCACTATGTTTTCACTGATTTGCTTAATACATTTGTATTGTTGTTTCATAAATAATGATTTGATGTGAGATCTGTAGGACACCACTTCAGTGATGTTAGCCCTGATACTCAATCCCAAAATCCGTTTCAAAGTTTTTTTTTTCTCTGTCATTTTCTCGGCTTTTTGCTAATTCTCCCTTAATAGTGGACCCCCTGTTTGTTAATACAACTGAAGGAACTTTTAAACAGATTTAGTCAAGGTATCAGGAAACTATTTGGCAGGCATTTTATACTCTGTTCTGATGCTCTTGTATACTGGATAGAAGTTGACTCGCTTAGATTAATTCCTGATTTAATTGTTCCATGGAGCAGGAGCACCTCCTGTAATCTAATTATTTTAGCATCTCCATGTAAAAATTGACTGCATATTAAAAGGTTTTATTCGTTTATTGTTTTTGAGGTTACGATATATTCCCATGACATTCTTTAGGTGATTTTGTGCTTTATCTTCTTTCTTAAGCAATCTATTTTGCTGATTTTTTTTTTTTTTTTTGGAAGAATTAAGGTCTAGGTAAACCTAAATCTTACTTAAGTTTTTTGTTCTGTTTTTTTTTTCTTCTTTTCTTTCTAAAGGGTATCAAAGGATTTAAACCCATCTCCTCCAAAAAGAGGCTCATACCCAGGTCATTAGCCTAGTAAGGTTTCGCTCTAGGCCTTGAAATTTATTTTATGTTCTGTTAGATATCATATTTTGTGACTTCTATGTTGGCATAACTTGACCATGTGATTGTGCTTCATTGAGGGATTTGGTGAGGTGTTGCTAATGTATACCTTTTGAAAAACTCACACTGTGCAATTGTATCAGCTTGTTTCAGTTTTAATTTCTTTATCAATAGTCTCAGACTCTGTAGTTTGTACTCATCTTGTAAAAATGAATTTCTTGTATGTTAATTTTTGCAAGTTTTGGAAATGCTTTCTCCTTCATGTTGTTGTTCTTACTTAATTTGGTGAATTAACATTTACTTTGCTGGGATGGTTGTTATAGGTCTGCTAAAATGATTCTTAGTTGCATGTAGTCTTTGCCCCCGTTTAGTGCACATTTTTGGAAAAAGAATGCATTTTTACTGTTGATATGATGGGGAATATGTGGTTGAAAAATAAGGAAAAATTATTGATGTGATGGAAAATATTATTTTATTGAAAAATGTGTGGTTGAAAATAAGTAGAAGAATAAGAATGAAAAAAATAATGTGGCTCAAACAGGGGCTAAATGTAGTCTGATTTCTTAAGCAATCTATTTTGCTGAATTTTTTTTTGAAGAATTAAGGTCTAGGTAAACCTAAATCTTATTTAAGTTTTTTGTTCTGTTTTTTTTTTCTTCTTTTCTTTCTAAAGGGGATCAAAGGATTTAAACCCATCTCCTCCAAAAAGAGGCTCGTACCCAGGTCATTAGCCTAGTAAGGTTTCGCTCTAGGCCTTGAAATTTATTTTATGTTCTGTTAGATATCATATTTTGTGACTTCTATGTTGGCATAACTTGACCATGTGGTTGTGCTTCATTGAGGGATTTGGTGAGGTGTTGCTAATGTATACCTTTTGAAAAACTCACACTGTGCAATTATATCAGCTTGTTTCAGTTTTAATTTCTTTGTCAATAGTCTCAGATTCTGTAGTTTGTACTCATCTTGTAAAAATGAATTTCTTGTATGTTAATTTTTGCAAGTTTTGGAAATGCTTTCTCCTTCATATTGTTGTTCTTACTTAATTTGGTGAATTAACATTTACTTTGCTAGGATGGTTGTTATAGGTCTGCTAAAATGATTCTTAGTTGCATGTAGTCTTTGCCCCCGTTTAGTGCACATTTTTGGAAAAAGAATGCATTTTTACTGTTGATGTGATGAGGAATATGTGGTTGAAAAATAAGGAAAAATTATTGATGTGATAAAAAATATTATTTTATTAAAACATGTGTGATTGAAAATGAATAAAAAAATGAGAATGAAAAATATAATGTGGCTCAAACAGGGCCTTAATACGAGCACATTAAAATGAAAGAATGCATTTTTTTTAAGTAATGTTATGGGGAATATGTGGTTGAAAAAGAAGGAAAAGTTATTGATGTGATGAAAAATATTATTTTATTGAAGAATGTGTGATTAAAAATAAGTAGAAGAATGAGAATGAAAAAAAATAATGGAGCTCAAACATGGCCTTTGTCTTTAAAGTTGGAATTTCAAGAGACGCACCACCTTTATGGAAACGTTTTGAATATATACACTCTATTATAGTGTTGCATCATTCTTTCTAAATAAACTGCTCACCTTGTCGACTAGGTTTTTCATGACAATGTCATTAACTGGCTGTGGCTGATATAAATCTAGAGGATCTCTAGGAGAATTTCTATTTTAAAGAGCATATTTTCTTAATTTAGAGAACATCTATAAATTTAAAGACTAAAAATTTTTAAATACTCCAACACGCTCTTTATCTTTAACACTTAATTTTACTATTCCTAAAAAATATTAATTATTTTTCCCTATTTTTTATTTTAACTTGCTTCCCTCCAAATTCTTATATTATTTTCCTCCATTAAAAATTGAAATACTTTGAATGTATTTAATTATAAAGAGTGGGTTAGGCTCTCGAAATTATTTTAAAATTTTAATTTGAAGAGTCTCTTGGAGATGGGTTGAATTTTTAAAATAGAGAACATCTTATGTTTAAAGAGCCTCTTGGAGATGCTCTTAGACAATCAATTTCAAATTCTATAGTCTTGTTTCTCCCCCCATTTATGGTTTTCTATCTGCTTTCAGTACCATATACCTCTTTAATTGTGGAAGTTGTAGTACCCAATAGTAAATCTATGACAAGTTGTCCATGATTCTTTAAATTAAAACTGAGTTCCATACCAAGGAAGTCAAGTTAGGTTCGTGGCCTTTCTGGACGTGTTTAACTTATGTTTAAGTGGCTCATTCTATACAAGTGCAATTTATTTCACCAAAGGCTTCGTAGGATTCTGCTTCTTGAATATTCTCCTATTGTAATAGTTCAGACTGCAGCTTGATGTTTCATTGGCCATATCACCATCAGACACCATGGTGAGGATGAGGTGGAAACGAGTTGATTATTTTTGTTTCAAGCTTGCACCTCTTATTTCAGCTTCATCTTTTTTTCTAATGTAGCTGTTGAGTCAGAACCCGTAGCTTCTAATAATTGGCAGGGTTTCCTTCTAGATTAAGTTTTATTTTAATCTAGGAGTCTCCTTTTCCTTCTGGGTATCTAACACTTCTAATTTTCACATTTTGCAGCTGTCAGAGTGGTTGGAGTCTAAAAAGCTTCTTGACTTCGGTGAGAGAGATTATGCTTCCCGTCTTGATTTAATTGCCAAAGTACGTGGTATCTACAAGGCAGAAAGCTACATTCAGCACATTCCTGAATCTTTCAGAAGTGAACTTATCTATCGAACTCTATTGGCAAATTGTGTTTCTCTAAGCCACGTGAAGAAATCTGAGGAGGTTTTCAATAAAATGAAGGATCTAGAATTTCCTGTGACGTGCTTTGCTTGCAATCAGTTACTACTACTTTACAAGCGGGTTGACAAGAAGAAAATAGCTGACGTTTTGTTGTTAATGGAGAAAGAATGTATCAAGCCATCCCTCTTCACTTACCAAGTCTTGATTGATGCGAAAGGGCAATCCAATGACATTGCTGGAATGGAACAAATTGTTGAGACACTGAAGGCTGAGGGGATGGAGCCTAACATCCAAATTCAATCCATATTGGCACGGCACTATGTCGCTGGTGGCCTAAAAGATAAAGCTGAGGCCGTCTTGAAAGAGATGGAAGGAGACAATATAGAGAAAAATCGTTGGGCTTGCCGGCCTTTGCTTCCTCTTTATGCAGCCCTTGGAAAGACTGATGAAGTTGAACGAATCTGGAGAGTCTGTGAATCTAATCCACGTTTGGAAGAGTGTACTGCTGCCATTGAAGCTTGGGGAAAGCTAAAGAGAATTGAAGAAGCAGAAGCAGTTTTTAATATATTGGTAAAAAAAGTAAAAAGTCCCTCTGCAAAACATTATTCTGTTCTACTTAAAGTTTATGCACAACATAAGATGTTGGCAAAAGGAAAGGACCTGGTGAAGCAAATGGCAGAAAGTGGTTCTGCCATTGGACCACTGACTTGGGACGCACTTGTGAAACTTTATATTGATGCTGGAGAAGTGGAAAAGGCCGACTCCATACTGCATAAGGCTGCTGAGAAGAGAAGGGGCAAGCCAATGTTTACTTCATATATGGCGGTTATGGACCAATATGCTAAGAGAGGTGATATCCACAACGCTGAAAAAATGTTTCATAGAATGAGACAAGTTGGGTATGTCTCAAGATTCAGGCAGTACGAATCACTCATTCAAGCCTACATAAATGCCAAGGCTCCTGCATATGGTTTCAGCGAGAGGATGAAGGCCGATAATATATTCCCTAATAAATCATTGGCTGCTCAGTTGGGTCAGGTAAATGCATTTAAAAAGACGGCATTGTCGGACTTGCTGGATTAAGGACACAGCGCGTATGTTTGGTAAGGAGCACTAGAGAAGACTGCATAGACCATTTTAGCTTATTTTTCTTCCTTAAAACTGTTTTAAGACTATCCAATCCTCCTTTCCAAACATGCCATGAAATACTTACCTGGAGCAATCTACGCCCATAATAGCTTTGCTAGCTGTAAGGTATCGTTCTCTGTTCTGCACTTGTGTTATCATGCAACACTAGTGTAGCTAACTGTAGTTTGGAACTTCTCTATTCCTGGCATTCTGTTTGTAAGGAAGTTGGATCATAAATCAAACAATTTCTGCACCATTAACTTTGTATAATATGTTGAAAGTTTTGTATGCAATTTCTTCTGCTGAATGTGTTTTATTTCTTTTCTTTCTGTTATTGTTATTGGTTAAGGAATCATGGGTAGGAAGCAGATTTAAGTTCTTGAAGTAGAAATGTGGAGAGCAACAATATTAATCCGATTTTTATTTTATTAATCTTAAACATCATAGATACGTGAGGTCGCATCACACTTCATGATGCTTACACCTCTTGCCCTATCGAAGTTTTGTTCAAACAATCTCGGGGAATTTTGAAAAATAATTTGTGATATCGTGTACCTTCTTTCCTTCCTCGTTATGAAGGATAATGTTCCATTTGATTGGATTCAGCTTATTATTGTAATAAATTCGCACTCTAATTTCAAAAAAGATCAAATACAGGATTGGAGCAAGTTGGGTTGGTGTAGAGTCGTAAATGTGGTGGGGGTGATAAAAGGACGTGTTCGTATGATTCATAGAGAATGATATGATAAACTACTTGATTGTTGGGTATGATTTATGAATTAATCCCCACTTAGTGGGATTATTTTCATAGGGGTTCACCAGGGCTACTCACATGGGTGGGCCCCACCATGTATTAAAAAAAAAATTATGCGCAGAATCCACATGTGTGAGTGCCCTGTGAAAATAATCCATATACGCGAAACATGGTTCATGATTTATTTACCTAAAAATGTCTTTTTGAACATTGCTATATGCAATTCATGAAAGTCTTTCATTTGCATGTCTTTGACACGAGTTTGACTCGTGTAGTTGAGGTTCTCAAGGAAATAATTTTTTGCCATTTCAATTTCCCTTGTATTTTCATTCATTTTGTTGCTAAAATACTATGTGAAATACTTATGCGGTTTATACTTTGATGCGTCAAATAGGTAAACTAAGTTTAATGGAAAAAATTAAAAAAAAAAATGGAAAAGTAAAAAAGTTAAAATAAAAAGAAGGAAAGTGACAATCCTTCTTCCCGTCCCCACTCCTCTAACCTCTACCACCTTTGGGCGCAGTAGGGATTTATACTTTGATATTTTAATTAAAATTAAGAATTTTTTAAATAAATCTCGACTTTTCAATAATGCAATGAACAAAAATTGTCTATCAAGTGCTACATTAAAGGTTGAGAATGTAGATAAAAAATAATAATAATAAGAATATGCCATTACGAGTAAGAGAAAGATGGATAGAATGACAAATAAGAATCAATTATTGCCAACGATCTCATCTCACAACACAAGCTTAATGGGCAAAGAAACTTTCCAAAAACACTACCATTGAATTTTTTAGAATAAGAAGCATAGATCGCCTTGAAATTGACTAGACGAGTCTTTTTCATCAATCTGCTAGGTTCATTGTTAGATTTACTCAAGAAATCAAAGCAATATGTTAGTAAAGGATGCTCCAACAAACAAGTATTGTGATTCTTGGCATAATCTTTAACAAAGTTTTAAGTTGAATGTCAATACGTACCACAACCCTCCTCTTTTTATAGGCTTGAGACCGATTATACAAAACAAAGGAAATATCGGATAACTAGAATATACAAAATTAGAATGACAAAAATATGATTAAGATCTTATAATTTTTAAAATTTTTCTGTTTTAATGTCCTCAACATCATCTATCAGCTTATCAAACTAATAAAATCTTCAGCGTCACAAACCTTCGGAAAAATCTTGACATGATCGATAACAACTTTCTCAGAAAGTCCACATTTTCCCCAGAAAAAAAAACTCTACATAAATAACCTTTTGCTGATTGTGATCTCTTATGCTGATCCAGAACCTTTTGCTAATGCAGCTTCACGTTCCTGGCGCCGACGTTCTCTCTGATGGAAATCATGTAATCAGAAAATGAGTGTATAACTCTAAAATGTATCCATGTTGATCGAGCAATAACAGAAAAATGACGTAACAAGTAAAAATGAGAACTGTTTACTGCAGAAAAGAGAAATGCCAACTGACGCCAGAATAAAGTGAAAATTAATTTACTTTTCATTCAATTCAAATAAAAAAATAATAAAAACTAAATATGGATACAAAATAAAAGTTTAGCATGAATTCCCAGCTCTAAAGTGAAGGGTGTGGATCATCATGAGTAGTCAGTAGACAACATAGACTCGAGTCAAATGTTCTAAGCTGTATCAGAACAGAATAGCTTTAGAGACCCTAGGATGCACTATGGCTAGTTATTTAGCCTATGTTCAGCTCATGTTTATAAACACTACAGCCACTTTTTATTTACAAGTTTCAAGGGACCCACAAGTACTACCCACTTAACCACAACTCATTACTATCTATTTATAATTTAAATCATTTATAAACACTTTGAGAATTGAATTATAGCTCATCTTCACTACAAAAAAATATTGGATTTAGCTAAACTTCAGTACAACTACACTTCTTTATTAATAAAACTAACAAAAAAGATGCTAAAGGTCCCTTGTAAGGAAAAATACCATCTTCCTATCACTCTAACAGTGACTCCGTAGACGTCAATTATACGAAATTGAAAACCAGTAAGATACATTCAGAAAACTTTGATAAAGCAGAATCAACTAATTGTGGACTATCAATATCAAATTATCTGCCTTATTTCACTGACATTGTGGTTTAATTTTGTCAGAGCACCGCCCTGTCATGTGCGGAAGCTGCAGGTTTGAAGCTATTACACCTGAAAGAATACCACCCCCTCCTCCCAGAGGGATGCTAATATTTGTCATAGGGGAAAAGTTGATATAGAAAAGAAAAGGAAAAAAACAGAAAGAAATCATCACCTATAGTTGGTTTTCAAAATCACGTAATGCAGAACACAACATTTAGCGAGCGAGAAAAGAGAGAAAGAAGAATGAGAGGGAAAAAAAACAGTAGATTTCAGTGACAAACTTATCCAAAATATATATATATTACTCCCTGTTCCACGTATTCACTTTAATTTGAGAACATGAAGCAAATACATACCCTTCTTTCCCAGTACGGAAGGAAGCACACGAAATCATAAACCGGAGTTATCGTGGAGACTAACATGGCATTGAGTCCAGTGAACAGCAAAAGTGCTGTCATTGGCCTTGTTCTGTGAGGCATTTCTTTTGGCACAAACTGTTAGCTCTGCAAAGATAAAATAACAGCTAAAATATCATATTTTTAACTAATGATCACAATAGATAATAACCCTAGCACACATTAAACAAAATTGTGAATTGATTTTTTTACTGAACTATAACAAGTTCTAAATTACCTTCTTTTTTTTTTCCCTCTCATTTGTACCTCAATTACAATAATCAAAATATAAAACATGTTCATGGTATTACGTCAATCAGACATTCCTCAAGCTCAATTAATCTTCAAAACAAATTAAAAATACAGTTTTCTACTAGATTCAGAAAAATCCACTATATTCAAGTAAACAAAACCAGTAAAAAATCAATAAACGCAAGAGAACCTAAATAAAATAAAATTAGGAATGCATTATTAACACCCAAAGATAAAATTCTACAATCTGGAAATATTGAAATTCGAATTACACGACATTGTTATGTTTATACAATCAGGAAAAACAAAAAACCCCAAAGGAGAACGAGACTAAAATTAGCATATCACCTGGAGTTTTTCTGCTAATATAATATGTCGGACGGCGACGAAAATACCGGTACCGGAGTCCGCCGAGTGGGAGAGGAGGGTTTATGGGTGGGTGTCTGTTCTCACCGTTAACTTCTGAATTAAAATCGTTTATAATTAATAAAATAAAATAAAAAGAAAAATAAGGGATTAACTGTTGCTAAAATAACCACACACTACCTTCAGCCGTGCTACATGACATCTTCCTTTACATTCTTTCATGTGACATCATCATATCTTTTGATTTCTCCAACAATCTTCCACGTCACTATTCAACTTGAGCCTCACTGGGAGAAATGTCAACCATATGGTAAGACAAAATATACATCTAGCACCCATTATAGACATTCTTGTGTACATTGCTACGTACACATAGCAAAATCTTTATTGCTTTGCCTTGTGTCGCAAAATCTCTTTGAACTTTAAAGTTTAAATTGTGACCGAACTTTATCACAATGCTCTCCATCTAATTGGCTTGGAAGACATGCCTAGGTGACACGAAATTCGTATGTAGCACAAATTATCGTCCATTCTCTGAATAAATGATGAATCGAGAATGAACATTTTGACAAAATTAAGTAACGATTCGATAATATTTTGTATCTTTATAGCGGGATCTAAACCTTGTCTTGTATCATGGAGACCTCAGCGAATGTTAAAAATATTGTTGAAACATGATGGAACTTTGTCAAGATATTCTCTATACATCATTGGTTGGACAATTGGACGACAATTTGTACCATTTCGTTTTATCACATAAGATGTTCCGCCCAAGCTTGCTAAAGCCCATCAGATGCAAAAATAAGAAATTTGTCATTTGGTTGTAAAATTCTTGTGTAAATAGATGGATCAGCTCTTACCACTGGTTGATGAAGAGGTTGAGGAAGGTGAAATCGAGGAAAAGACACGTCAAGACTAATTTCTGACCACTTTAGGTAAGCATCACGATAACTTAAAACAAAAACAAGACCAGAAAATCGCAAAATCGTAGACAATCACAAGAATTACATATAGAATAGTCGATATTTCAGGGCAAGCTCATGCTTCATACCTACAATATGTGAATCCTTGG